GATGAATCCAGAGAGTAATCAGCATTTTAATCAATAATCAAAATGATCGTTAGTAGGTTTATTAACGCCGTTTAGAGAAGCTGTTTGGCTGCAGTTAAGAGTCGACTGTTGTTGAGGAAACTGTGACACCAACAGGCTGACGTGGACACAGCAGAGTACAGTTAACAAAGGATCAGATTTTAATTTTGCTTTAATTAAAAGGTTCTCTTTAAGTTTTCTCTGCTGCTGAACCTGGTTTCTTGTCAGCAGCAGGTGGAGGTGATTGTCTCCTGACAAGAGCATCAGCCAACTTTGTCTTTTTAGAGGTTATGATACGTCGTCTGAGCAGCTACGTCTTCAGGACAGAATGGACGCTACAATGTGGAAACAGGCCGGGGCTAGGTGGTTAGCATGCTAACATCAGTAGAAGACAAGACGTGAAAGAAACAAGAGTTTACACTGGTGTTAGTTTCCACCTCTGGAGACAGATGTTGGTGAGTAAAGGAATGAAGTTTGACGCTGAACTCACGTTTCTTCTAAACTGGTACGTAAACAGCTGCTAATGCTAACGCTAGCTATGTAGCAATAGCAAAAACTGACAAAAACAAACAAACTGATATGATCAATTAAAATATGGCCGATTGGCCCTGATACCAATTCTATGATCAGCTCAGAACTAAAAATCAGCTTCAATAAAAACTCACTTGAAGAAATAACAGGAAGTGGTTCTGGGTTAGTGAAGGAAGCTGCTGGTTTGAAATGAAACTCTCATAAAAACACTACTGGTTGATGGTAGTACAGGGGTTATTGTGTGTGTGGTTGTAAATACACACACACACACACACACACACACACTCTGTTGATAAATGAGGCCTCAGGTTCCTCAGTTGTGACATAAACACCTAAACACCTGAACTGTTGCAGCTCCTCCTCGGTTTAAAGAAGAGTCTCTGCCTCGTCAGATCCAGACTATGGTGGTTCCTGATCAGGCCTGAGCCACCTGCAGAGATCCTGAGGCACGAGAGCTTCATGTGACGTCTTCTTTCAACCGCTACAGTCAGAATTTATCTACATCACCATAGCAAAGGGAAAATATTACAAGCTGCAATGACTCCACCGTCAGGATGTGAGTCAGAGACCAAGACCGGGCCGGAGGTCTCAGCTCACCCTGGACCTGAGAGGTGTGGCCACACAAACAGATGAACAGACACGGAGGACACGGTCACCTCTCGACCTCCCACAGGGTCCCGACCCCCGTGTTGAAGACCGTCGCTCTGAAGCACGAGGAAACTTTCCCGCCTCTTCCTCCCTCAGCTGCGGTTTTGTAGTTGGAGTTTATTGTGGAGCTGCTGCATCGTGAACTTTACCCCAAATATACAAGATCACAGTGACGTCACCAACAGAGCCGGAGACCAGCTCCACATCACAACCTCCTGACCTCTGATAACCTATCCACTTATTGATTATTACTGAACTGATCAGTAAAACGACATTGCTACGTTTACATTTGATTTCACAGGAACTGACGCAGGTTCAGTCTGATCCTCCACATAAAGTGGATTAACGTACATCAGGCGACAGGTTCAGAGCTCAACAGGAAGTGAGTTACTACACAGTGAAGAGTCGAACCTGCAGCAGCGACTCCAACATATACACACACACACACACACACACACACACACGCACACACACACACACACACGCACACACACACACACACACGCACACACACACACACACACACACACACACACGTCTAAAGTTTAAAACATGAATGTGTGAAAACGATCGAGTCCAGGTGATTTCAGCAGAGAGCTGAGTCCACAGTCAAACACCTGGATGACATCACAACAGGTAAATCTTCACAGCAGCATTCAGGTTGGAGATGCAAATAAATGGGCAATTTAGAGTCACCAATGAATGTATTTTTGTGGGAGGAAACATGCAACATCTACACCCAGATTCAACCCAGAACCTTGTTGCTCTGAGGCGTCAGTGCCGACCACTGCTCCACCGTGTCGGGTCTCACAGCTGACGACGTAGATCAGAGGAGGAGGAAGGAGCTGCTGAGAGCTCAGAGACAGGACTGTGTTTCTGCTGCAGGGAAGGTTCCTGAGAAATCTGTGTTTAAATAAACCAGAAGTATTTGAATCATTCAACAGCTGTTGAAGCAGATGTTTCACTGTGTTGTTTTCTAGTTTGTTTATTCAGGCATCTTGTTAAACTGAGTCTTCACTATGTTACAAACAAATGTCCAGCAGGTGAGCACAGGTGAATGAAAGCAGGATTAAAGCGATCATTCACCACACTGCCTCCTCCTCCTCCTGCAGCTCAGACTCTGAGCCTCTCTGACCAAGCTGTTTCTATTCTGAGCTAATCAAAGCTTTACTGGGTCTCAGGTTATGTAACAGTCTCTAGAACTGGTCTGCTTCTGTTCTGGTTCTGTGGTGAAACAACCCGGTCTGAGGATCAATTACTGAGCTGCTCCTCTGAATATTTGGATTTATTCATGTTTCAGCAGAGAGATTATGATGAATAAGAATCAATATTTCTGTAGAAACTCATTTTCTCTTAAGACATCATCACATGCTCTGTCACAACCCAGAAATATTCAGTTTACAGAAAAGTAAGAGCAAGAAAAATCTCTTCATTTTCTTTTGATCGCTAAACCTGTGTCACATGTGAGCACATGAGCTGAGAAACAGATGAATGTGCAGCATAAATCCATCAGCAGCAGCAGACTCAGTTTTCTAACACCTGGTTTTCACCTGCTGCAGAACAGAACAGAACAGCAAAAAGGTTCAGGCAGAGAAACCAACAGTCACATACCAGCCTATCAGATCCCTTGGTAATGGAGCTACGAGTGGAAAACAGCCAATCATTTCACAGGTGTGTTGTTGAGTTGCGAGCGAAGAGCGGTGAATCCAATAAAGTTACTCTACCACCTTCCACCCTCTGGATTACACAACAGGTCGTCAGTCACGACCAACATCTGCTGCATCTCAAGAACTGAGGCGGTGAGTCACAGTCTCACCTAGCATCTGTTCATACGGCAGGTATAGATGATATGAAGAGCTTCATTCCAGCAGCATCACTCATATGAATAAACTGTAGTAACACTGCATAGAGGCAATCTATATTAACTTATCTATGTTCACCTCATGCACGTGGTGTTGTCTGTGCTGTGTGTTAAAACTCTTTTTACTGCAGACTGAATCTACCCACAGGTACAAACTAAAGTAACCTAACCAGTCAGTCAGCACCAGCTGTTATTTCAATGTGGCAGATGCACATTTAACCAACATTTGATATCTGCTGCTGCTCAGCTGAAGGTTATCTATATTAATTGTAACCGTACAGTTTCAACAGAGTTCACCTGAAACTCTGACTTTTACCTATTTTTACCTTCACTTACTGACAAACGATGAAAGCTGGATCAATAAAAATGGATTCAATAACGGATTCTACATAATTTATATTTGACAAATTGCTATTAAACTCCAAGAGGCCCGGGGGCCTCAGTTAGGAAACCCCTGACCCACATGAAACCTCGGCTGCTCTGTCACTTTCTATCAATAACTGGAAGAAGACAGCAGCTGCCAAACTCCAGATACTTTATATACTCAGCAGAAGAGACTCGCAGCCGTGAGTACTGCAGTACAGATATTACAAACCACTGCACAACAACAGGAAGATTACTGCAAGATGACTGTGATGTCATACAAACAGTAAGGTCACTATTTATATATCTTAAAGTTAAAGTGCTGGTTTCATGGAGATTAAAGGACTAGAACTGACTCATACTGCTGGGATGTTAACAGAAATGTCACAGTACAAGTTCCCTATTCAAAAGTATTACAGAACACCATGTAATACAGCAAGGTCACTGTGAAGTCACATAGGAACTTACTAATGGAATATCATGACAATATAGCCACATTTTAAGTGATAAAAACAGCACAAAGCTCCATAAAATCACTGTAGATGTCTTTTATCTCAAAGAGGGATTAACCTTAAAACTAAAACATTTAAAGATGTTCTTTAAAAAAAACAGCACCGTGGGAAAAACCGCCTGAAATTCAAACACGATGCGAGATTAGAAACAGATGTTGAGAAACGACACAAAGTTACGTTCTGCGGGATTTTCTTTGGCGCCAGCTCGACACCTGCATCACCGCTGTACCCGGTACAAACTCTGTACTGAAGCAGTCCGGACTCCGGAGCACACGGTCCATTATCCGGAGCTCATTCCCCGCACGTTTCGCGGCCGTGCAGCAGCAGCAGCCGCCGGCCGCCTGCTAATGAACCTCCTCCCCCCGAAACAAAGTCAACTTCTACCGAGACTCCGCTGGTTTCTGTCCGGGTCCCTCACCTTGCTGTGGCTGCAGCCCATTCCTCCCCCTCCGAGCTCTGCTGTCGGTGTGAAGCGGCTCAGATTCTCCGCTCGTCTTCTTCTCCTTCTTCTTCTTCTTCTTCTTCCCTCTGTTGACAACTTTCAAACACTCCGGAAAAAACTCCTGTGAACGCACCGCTACAGCCGCCGGCCACGGGGGACGGGGCTTATCTGTGCTGCGTTCAGGGACTCGTGGTAGACTCGTCACTATTACATTTCTTTATTTTAACTTTCTCTATCAGAGGTAACAAGGAACATGATAGGCTGAAGAGGAGTTTTATGATAAAATATATGATAACCACCAAATAAAAATATGTTGTCATGAGTTGAGCACATTAACAAATCATTGAAATTCAAACCGGCACCAGAGTTACAGCGACAAATACTCAGATTTGTATTGTCCTATATTTCATGAAGGCAGCACCATGTTAAACCTTGACATGCGCAGTAATGGGTCTATTGTCTGTGATTTAAACTGTTACCGTAATGTTGAGAGAAGCTGTGAAGTTATCAGCGGCTGAAAATTAAAAAAAAAACGCTTCTCGCGGTTGTTTAGTTTGTTTTCTTTAAAAACTTTAAATGCCGTCAAAAACTCTCCGCGTGTCACAGTGTGTCTGACCACAGACAGTTTGTTTATCCAGAGAACGTTCCTGATTGGTCCTTATATTATACACTATGAGCATAAATGCTGCTTGATGTGATTTATTTCTATAGATTTCACTTTGATGTCATTTCTTCCTCTTGATTTAAAGAGAAACAACGTAGCCTGTTGGCGCACAGACGAACAGGGGCACCATGGGTAATAAATGTTTTCATCATGTAGTTTTTGTGATCACACAGTGTAAGTATTTGTGTGATTTCGACACCACGACCGTATTTTGTTGACAACATAAAACCCCGCCCTCCTTAGTTACCGTTGTTAAGTTAGTAGCCGCGTTCTAGAACACTCACTGTCACAGTCCGCAGCGGGAACAGCAGCAGATTTTTCATATTTGAAACAATGTGTCTTTGGTTTCAGACAGAAGAAGCTGCAGCTGACGTCACAGTCTCCAGTCTGTGATGTTGAGTAAATGTATTTATGTGCTGTTATATATGGAGGCCGTAAACAGTCAGTTCTTTGTGATCATGTTGTAATAACTCCACGTGTTGCTGTGATCAGTGTGTTGATCTGCAGCTGAAGGTTCAGGAGGGTGTGTGTGTGTGTGTGTGTGTGTGTGTGTGTGTGTGTGTTTGTGCGCGTGTGTTTCTTCTTCAACAGCGTCCGTGTGAATCGTCCCATGAGATTTCTGATATCATCACATTTTTAACAGCTGATGTCACAGCTCAGTGTGTGTGTGTGTGTGTGTGTGTGTGTGTGTGTGTGTGTGTGTGTGTGTGATATGTAAACACAATAACTCATATTCATTTCTCTCTTCTGTTATTAATTCAATCTGAACAGATAAAGACAGGCCTGACAGCAGAGACAGATGAGAGACAATGGGCCTCTGAGCACAGACTGTAAAACACCTCCCACCCCTCCCACATGGAACCAACCCCCAGACTGAAATGTGGTTGCGTTGTTTTGAAATAGTTTAGTGTGACTTTGTGGTTGTTTTTCATCTCTTTACTGTTGTTTTTTTCTCTCTGTGGTAATTTTGTGTCTTTTAGACTCTATGACTTTCAGACGAGACATATTAATAGTCACTCCATACAGATGCTCAGACCCGGCCCCCCCTGGCCCCCCTGGCCCTTTGGGCCCCTGTGTCTGTGCATGAGGTTGTTTGTTGATCTGTGATAGAAAGTCAGTTTAAATGAGTCTAAATTCAAAATGGCGGCTGCAGATTTATTGTTTATTGCCTGTTGAGCTCAGCAGGTTTCTGGATCTTTCTCCTCCTGTCTCTTCTTCTGGGTGTTTATATGAGCAAAACCTAAAGCTCATAAAACACAGAGAGAGAGAGAGAGAGAGACTGCACTGCAGATGTTGTAATCCTCATGTTCTTAAGAGGACACAGGCTTTGACATGATGAACAATACAAACACACACATGCACAAATAAATAATAAGAACAGATAAAGGAAAATCCTGACTTGTTTTTAAGTCTCGCTAATATACGTCACAGTTCTGCTCTGTCACTGTGGCTTATAGGATTCCCTGCTCAGTAACCATGGTAACTGATACTGCTGGACTAGCTTACTCAGTAGCAGGCTAACTCTCAAGCTTAACTTAAACTGTGTTTCATTAATTAGCAACAGCCGGAAACAGAATCCCATAAGACAGTTCCGATCTGTGCCACTGCGCTCTGCCAGGTGAGCTATCAGAGCACTGTGCTAATGAGCCCCTTACTATGCTATGACCGTACTATGACTTATGACATATATCATATATATGACATATTTGTCCTTATATCAAGAGTGATGTTACCATATGTGTCATCTATAAGGCTTATGACATGAGCTTAGACACACGTCTATATTATAAACCTATAATATAAACAGACATACCAAAATACATGTTTCTATCAGGTAGACATAAATGTCAATATATGATATTGTTCCAATTTCTAACAGGTTTCACATGTAATTTTTTACATATAATATAATGTATATACATATATGATTTTACTTTCAACACATGTACATATATCACACTTTCGTATGGGCATTTCTGAATGTAAATTCAGATCTTTTATATAACATTTTCTTCCTCGTGTGTTTCCTCACGCCGCCTGTTCCCAGCACCGACCTGGTTATCTGCAGCACTTCCCTGTCTGCTGATGATAAACGTTGTTCCTCTGCAGGTTGTTCTGCCAACTCAAACACCTGCAGTCAGTCAGAGATACAGTAAGAAAATCACAACATGGAGAGAACATGAGCAGAAAAACAAGCCGGTCCAGACTCAGGTCAGTGAAGTAACACAACAGCAAAACACAGGACACAACACAGTGAGAACAAATAACACCACAGGATATGAAACACACGCAACATGACGTGAACACAACCTGACACGTGTATGTAATCTTGGACAAATTGAAATGTAACTCTTGCTGACACAGAATTGTTGATACAGATCAATCAAATCAAACTGGGCTGAAGCTGTTTATAATTGCAAGGTCCAAATGTTAGCATCGCACACTAGACTAAAGTTCAAAGGTTAGCTAAAAAAAGCCACACTTGAAATTTCCAAAAGCATCATCTAATGCTAGTCTAATAATATCAAACTTTAAGATAGCACCTAATGTTAGCCTTATAATGTCCCAACATTACAAGCTTGGCTGCTAATGCTAGCCTTACTATGTGCAAACTTTAAGATAGTAGCTAATGCTAGCCTTATAATGCCAAAACTTTACACTGTAAAAAAAATCCTAATTTAAAATAACTAAGTTTTCTAACAGTAATCTTTTGTTTTTTTAAATTGTGAACAAAAGTCTGTAAAATGACAGAAATGATCTGTGAATTAACAGCCAAACTTCTCTTTGAAGCATTATACCAATAATAATGAATTTCATTTATTTCCCATTTTTGTAATGAAAGATTACTGTATCATTTATACAGTATTTTTTCTTCTTTCTTAAATTACCTACAAATCTGTGTAAAATGACAGTAATTATCTGTAATTAAAAATGTAGCTTGTTATTATAAAGGTTAATGTCCATACGAACAATTTAAAGATTCTCTGTAATTTCAGGGTGAATCTTATTAGTTTTATATTTATGTGACTTCTACATTCAAACTTTGTGATTCTGGATGAAATGTAACAAACTTTTTTTCATCACATCAAACATTCAAACAAAAAAGTTTGAAGTACTGGAATGTATCCCAGCATGCACTGGGAGGAAAGCAGGAATATAGTTTATCACACAACAGTCAAGCTGTCAGACTGTTGCTCTGTCCTCACTGAGCTATGAAGTATTATTTTACATCTCTACTATAATTTATACTTGTTACTAAATAAGATTTATCCACCTCTTTATGATGCAGACTTGTCTTGTGACAGTGAAGTTCACCTGCACCTTCATTCACAACTGTATTCTACTTTTAATTTGTCAGTTACAGTTGATTGTAAATTAGCCTATCTTTGTTGATATAAATGGGTTGGACAAAATAATAGAAAATAATAGAAACTTTAAAGCCATGGCGAGTGTCTTTATGTAGCAGTAGTTTTGAGTTGGCATCGGCTCAGAATATTTATGTCTCTTTGATTACTAATAATCAGAATCAGCCCTGAAAAATCTGTTGATCCCTATTGCTGTTAGTCAATTTAGGCTGATTCTGTCCTTGATTAATAATGTGTTATTCAGTTAATACCAAGCAACACACCATGAATGAAGGAATCCAAGTTTATGTTAAGTTCTATGTGATTCTATACAGTACATAATATATGCAGCTCATCATTTTGTTTGCCTTTTTTAAAAATCCTAATAAGTAACATACTGCTCTGATCATAGGTGCTATCTTCATCTCTAATGTGGCGTTCCTTAACTAGTAATCAAATTAGAACCATAAAGTAATTTGATAAACATGACCTACTCTGTCTCTTTCTAGTCTGCTGAGATCAACAGCTGCCGGGCGAGATGCTGTGATGCATTGTGGGGTTTTTAGTATCAACCACCTCAGGCCTTCCTCAGCCTCTGCAGGTAGCACTCTTCCAAAACACACATATTTACACCTGATATAAGGAATTGATTTACTCACTGGTGTTAAATATCTTTGGTTTGATCTGAAGTGAATGTGAACATTGATGTGTGTAGGGTAGATGGCCGTCACTGTACTAGAACCCTCCCTGAGAAGTATGGTGTGCAGTTACTGATCTCAACAGCATGGAAGTTATTAGTAAGAAGCATGTCAAATATTCAAAGGTAACAGCTCTGAGATAAAACTGGATATTTGTTGGTGTGTCCAACTGTATTTAACACGGCCAAGGACCCACAGCAGTTCATCACCTGTGAGATCATGATAATGCTGAAGAACCAGGAGTGACAATATATCACCAGGTGGTGGGGAACAGAATGAAGTGTTTCTGGTTTAAAAGCACCGTCCTCCAGCATTTAAATAATGGAAGATCTTTAGTTTGGTTTTAAATGAACACATTGATGGGGCGAGTCTAAGGTCAGCAGGTGAACTGTTTCAGGTGCACAGATGCTAAAAGCATCTCACTACAC